AGCAAATGAGAAAAATGGAAGCAAAAAGTTGAGAGTGACTTAAAAGATGCAAATTGAAGGTAGATTTCTGAGGCAAATGACTTAGCAGTTTTTAACTTTGGTAGTTTAAAATTTAGAATGATTAGTACTAACCGATGGGAATGTTAATTTTTTCGGAGGAGTAATTTTGGAGTATGCTATTTCTTATAAACTTCTGCTGTTATATTTGTTTCCTTTTTTACGGTAAATGAACAGCTGAAGTCTTGAAGTTTAAAGAATGGCAGTTACAGGATGACTTCAACTTGTCGGTAACAAGTAGAGGGTTTTTTTGTTCAACTTAGTTTAGCTGTACCTCATCGATATTGGCTGTGCTACATAAGTCTTGTTTTTTTAAACGTAAAGCAGATACGAATGTCTTTTATAGCGTAAGCAGTCATCTTTCCCGTTCACCTGATGCTCTCTGCAACATGGTTTGATTTTTTCAAAGAAAATGAAATGAATGCATGCTGGAATACACTAGACTTTTTATGGACTGTGATTTTTAATTTTTAGAGGATAAAGCAAATTACCTCTGATTTTCTTCCGCCAGTCGAACTAACGGGACTTTAATGTAGTTCCAGTGTTTCTTAGCCGAATTGAGGAAGCTTTGAGTTTTTTGTTTCTTTAAAGCCTAACAGATAATCATGAACAACAATATTACACGAAGGGACCATCAAAGAAAAACAGGCCCATTTTTAGTGAGGAATTTTGTAGTTTTTTTTTTTTAACGACTTTTGACGGTGTATTTAGCTTTATTCTCCCAAACAATGCAATGTCACTGAGTGGTTTACTTGTTCAGAATTTAGGTAGTGAAAACCTCAATTTGTTATCGGGGTACTTCAAAATTTTTTTTCACAAAATATTTTATCCGGCAAGAGTATAATTCTACGTTAATTCTACCTGCGCTCTGAATATACGCTGCTTGTTCAAGATTAGCGGTAATCTCGTACCTCCTCGCAGTAAATACTAGTCATTTACGTCTCTCTCCAGAAACATTAGTCAATATTCCGTTAGAACTACGAAGTTTAATTTCTGCTTGAAATTGTGATATGCATTCGCTGAAAAGTAATTAAAGAACCTGAGAAATCTGGTTGTTCAAACTCTTCTTCAAACTATGGCAGATCTGCAGGAATCTTCATTACCACTTATCATTGTATGAAGCCCAACAGAGTCAGCGAAAACAGTGAACAAAAAAACCGACTCTGTTTTCAAAGGAGTATCTGAAATCAATGGCAATAGGGGGTGAGGATGGACTCAAAACGCCAACCCAAATATCGCCCTTCTCAACGACATCCGTACAACAGGTTTCTGTTTTTCCGTTAAACTGTTAATACCCTGCAAGATACCCCTCTTTCTGTCAAAGCTAAGATCAAGCATCACTTTCTTCTCGATCCTTTCATGGCTCCAAAAAAAGGCGGCCTTAAATACCAACAGCTGCGGGTCTGCTGGTATAACCACACGAAATAAACGACTGAAATTTGGCAAAGAAATAATGAGTACTAAAAAGCGCGTTGATGATGCACTAGCACCCTAGTACCTAATTTGCTCGTCAGAGAACTGCAGTTACCTCTAACACCTAAGGACCAGCTCTTATCAATTACTGGTTATAAATAATTTGTAGACACCGTACAAATGAAAAATTGCAGGAAACTTTTTTTTGAACCTTTAGCACTTCAGGACGTTTAGTAACCTCAAATCTGTGTTAGAAAACGAAACATACACAAATGAAAAATGTCTAGTCGCACTCTTTCAGAAAAACAAAAAGTAAAAAGAGGAAAAGCGGAAAAAAAAACCACTAGTCCCAGTTAAACCAAATAATCTGCCCAGCTCATTTGAAGCGAAGGGAAAGACCTCGCTTGGTGGCAGACAAACCACTGGAAAACAAATTTTTCGGAGTACAGGTTAGGCAGGAAACTGCATCTACGACAGCTAATATTTCTCATATATTGTTGTTGCTCAAACGTCTCTGTAAGAACGAGTCTGTGTAAGGCAAAATGCCGTCCAGCACCGAAAAACTAAGACTAATGTATGACTCGGCAACCAAGTGCAAAATGATTTATACACCCGCAATATCCAGAGTGAAATGAAGGACTTTGTAAGTTTATCACTACCACTGTGGACTGTTTTTTTACTTCTTGCAGCAAAAACCCTGGTACAGTTAATTCTCACAACTGAATTCCAGCAACCCAAGACGAGACAGGAAGTCCAGGAAGTAATATTTGTCAATAAACCTCGGAAAATGAAAACATTTGGCTACAAAAACGAGCTGAAGAAAGAGTTCTTCTGAACTACCTTGACCTGCTGCTCTCTGTTTTCAAAATCCTCTGAAGAATCCTGAAACCCAAAATAACATTAATATAAACGTTTGTCGAGAATTTCAATTATTACAAGAAAACGAAATTGTTTTAGAGGAAAGACGTTGCGAAAGCTAAAAGAACCTCTTTTGTTTTGTTAACAAATAGACCCTTTTTCAAGCTGGCCGAAGTAGATTCAACTTGATTGACAATTAAGGAAAGAGAACTTCGATGCGCAAGTAAAGAATTTTTAGAAATGCCACTTCCGAAAGATTGAGAACCGCTACGACTCTCAGAGCCCGAAAAAGCTGGAAACAAATGAGAGGGAATTAATACGTCGGAAAATGTAAGGAGTTTTTTCAAAGAAGTTCAATGAAATTAATAGTACTTGGCTTTTGAAGAGCCTCGATGCCGGCAGACAGTAGCTCCGACTCCTGATAACTTACTTCTACTGTATCGTCTATCTAAAAAACGGAAAGTACGAGTCTTTTAATGCATAAAGAAAAAGAAGAGTTTTTGGCCATTTGCAACAATTCAAAACCTTTGACTTACTTTGTTTTCAATCTTCCATTTGACCATTTCAAGGCGCTTTTTCCGAGCTTCATCATCTTCAGCCTCATCTTCTTGCTTGTTAGTCGCTCCTTCGTCATCATTAACATCTATTTCATTCAGGTCCTCTTCATCGCGTAGTTTAAGACGAAATGTTCGATTTGTTTCGCTGTGCAAGTCACCATCTGCAAGCAGTTGGTCCTTCCAGTAGAGCAGTCTACGATGCTCTTCATCCTAAAAAAGACATTTACATGAGAAGAAAAGGTTGTCGGTGTGGTGTATCGTCAGGTCCCTAACGAAAGCAAAATATTCAAAAAAACCAAACCTGTTGCTGTTTCAGCCACTGCTTATGTAATTGCTCTCTAATTGTTTCTGCATCTGGTAAGTCTTCTTTGTCCCCTTCTTCTTCTTCGTATTCGTCTGGTCCTTCGTCCTCATCGTCATCGCTTCCTACATCATCGCCAGAGAGAGATGCCTCTTCTTCGATGTAGTCGGACCTGCAGTAATGGTTAAAATGTCTCGCGAACATGGGCATTTCAAAGTTGGGGATGTACAGAATAAAAACAAGTAAAAAGATTATCTTACTTAAACTTTTTATTGTGTTTTTCATTTGTAGATTCTAGACTTCTCAGGCTCCCCTCTTTCAATCGCCGATATACAGCTAACTCATCCTCGCTAAAATCTAACTCACTTTCGACATCACTCTTACGACTTTCGGATGCATTACTGTCATTCATTTCCTAAATCAATGCCAAATATTATGTCCGATCTGACCGATATTACTTGATTAGCAACAAATAAAGTAAATTTAACCATACTTCTTCCTCCTCATCAGAATCCCCAAAACTCTCACTCAAGTAGCTCTTATTTAATTCGATGTTTTCTGCATTGTCTCCGTGCTCAGAACACGGTACATCTTTTTCAGAAGGTTGTTCAGTTGCGTCTACAACACTTAAAGCGTCCTTTATGCTTTCTTTAACCACTCCAACTTCCTCTCCCTCATCGTCTGAAAGAATGACTTTCCTTCTTTTTTTCTTCATATTAAAGTCATCGTCATCGTCTGAGGCGGAAATGGTTCTAAAACCAGTAATTTGGAACAACAGTGGAATGAGATTTTCCTGCAATGTGTGGTTTCCTTTACTAAAAGACTTTAAAAAATTTGAATTACAACCGCACTTCAATGTTATTAAGTTGCAAGTCAAAACCCTGCTCACTCTTCTTGAAGATCTATTTCTGCACTATTCTGAGTTGGCTCTACCGCTTGTGACCTCTGCACGACCAATTTTTCACCGCTAAAATCACCAGAACAAAGAGCCAGAACTTCTCCATTCATTTGCTGCTGCGTAGAACGGTCTCCTCCAATACCTAAAGCGGAATATCAAGACCTTTATTGAGTAATATAATTCACTATGTTCCAAAATAAAGACGCAAATAACTGGAAGATCGCTCGTCAATGAAGGTCGAAAAAATAGTAAAATTTTTCATTATTCACTAAAAGCGATCACAAAGAAATCAAAAATAACAGATAAATGGGCTGAAGCAAGCTGAAGAAAGACGCTAAAGAATTATACAGAAGAAGCCTAAAATGCCACTTACCGACTGAAAATAAGAAGGCAGAGTTGTCATTAGACTGGCCATCCAAAACTCTGCAAGCATTTAAAAATTATTTTAACAAAAAAAATAAAGCACCTCAGCATCATGATCAGATTTAGTAACACAAAAGAACTACATTTCACTGTTGTCATGCTCAACGCCAGTACCACCAGACATGAATTGTGAAGCAGTAACCGGTAAGAGAAGACCTGGTAACTGAAATTGGGATTCAGCCTGAAAATGAGAAGCAAATAACGTATACAACACTTTTAAATTAAATTACTTTTACAAGACACTAAATAAAACTTTTTCGAAGAAAAAGTAATATGGCTGGAGACCAAAATTAACCTTTCGATCCTCATCTAGGTCTAAAGGCAAGCTTTGATCAAAACTCCCTTTAACTTCTGTCATTTTCTCATCACTTTCAACTTCTTCACTTCCTTCTGAACTTGAAGGTCCTTCTGGACCCGATTCCTCAGCCTCATCGTCAATCAAGGCACATTTCATTCGATCCGAGTTACGAGTTTCCCTGCCGCCAAGATCATCAACTATAAAACTCTTCTCAGAGTCCTGATCTTCACCCGTCATACCAAGTTCCGCTTCTTCTCCGTTCTCCTGCAATAAAAAGTATTTTGAAGGCAGTTGACAATTTAAATTTATAGACAACTGACAACTGAGCCTCTTAGTCAGATTTGAAGTAATACCATCTTCAGGATTCTCATTAAATAACGATGATGAAATGATTTTAATTAAGTAAATGAGGACCAGAAACCAAATAAAAATTCCTTTCCCATTGAAGGGTGAAAAAACTTACTGAAGCAGACTCTTCTCCATCTGAAGCACCGGATTCTTCCTCCTCTTCCTCATCAGATGAAGGAAACAAACAGTTGTCCTTTTTATACAGTTGCTTACGTTTTTCTTGTTCAACACGTCGCTTAGCAGCCAACTGTTTTTCAAGGGCTTTTTGAATTTGGACTCGTGCAGCACCTACGATTTAAGCCGTAAGAGAGATTGAGCCGTAATTTACAGTATACGACACCTAAGAAAACTGCTGCAAAAGATCCAAGTAATAAGAAAAAAGATGAAAAAATTTTTGATTTAATCCCTGACGATATTAAAGGGAAAAGTACCTGCAGTTATTTCTCCTTTCTTGACGCTTTCTGTAAGCGAGGCTCTACAAGGATATAATTAACTAATTTAATGTATTAGAGGCTAATGATAAGTGAGTCGAAGATTCACTCAGATTGTTTAGAGTAATTTTTTCTGGAATTAATGGTAAAAGTTTTGAAAGTCAGCTCTGTTTGGCTTTTTGGTACATGTTCCTGTCGTTTACCGAGTTTTTTACCTACAATTGAAATAAAAACTTTACTGGATCATTTTCGACCGCCCAAGTTTTACAGGATTGCGGGAAGGCTGGGGGAATTTGCTTGAAAACCAATAGTCCACTGTGTCTACTTTATCCTTAAAAAAATCACTACCAATGGTCAATCCATTTTCTCTGTCAGATTATATTTTTAAAGTTACTCTTTAAAATCTCAACGAACAATAAAGTTAGAATGTTAAAGAACTAGAAGGAAGAAAGATACCCTTTACCAATAACTTGGAAGTACTGAAGTTTTCATTTTGTCTCTAGTACCTCATCTCCCTTCTCCTCCTTTTAAGAATATCATTGACAAAAACGCACTCATGTTTTCTTCAAGAACCCAGTTACTACTGACTAAATAACCTTATCTAACAAATGGAAAAACAAAATGCGTTACTCAACAGGACTCAGAAGAAGACTATCAAAAATAGAGCAGACTTTTATGGCTTTCACGAAAAATACGCTACTACCTCGTCCGTCGTTAAATCGATTTCAACGTCAGGCTCCATCGAAAACTGACGAATTGGAAGTGTCGCCAAAAATTTTCTTCTTTTCAGCCGAGCCTTCGACGGTTTCACAGAATTTATATCTTCTGTATCACACTCTGCATGATCGTCCTCAGCGCTAAATCCGGTCATTCAATTTGTTGGCTTCTGAGTTCAACACATTAACAAGTTGTTATTGTTATTGAGTTCACATTACTTGTTTCAGTCTACGCCAAATTAATAATAAGACCAAAACATTAAAGTAAAGCTGCAAAAAAAAAAACTTGATGAGCAAAGCCATAATTTTTAAAAGTGCAATCATTTGAAACTCACCCTGTAACACATATTAAATTAGTGACAGCTTTATCAGATTCGTCGACTGTGGACGAGCATTCAGTCACAAGCGAACTATTAAGCATTTCTGTATATGGTTCGACACTACACTGCACATCTACGCCTTCCATTCTGCTACAAGTGAAAGAAGGTAAAAAGTTGCCGTAAAAGTGAAAAACAGAAACGATAAAATGTAAAAAAAAGATCTCAGAAACAGCAAATTAAAAGCTGCAACAAAAAAAAAATTCAGGAACACAAAAATTCTTTGAAGTTGGTGAGTACAACAGACTTCCAGTGACCCAATTGTAGTTTATCATCCGTCCCATAAGTTGTCGGCGATCAACATAAAGACATATGGCGGATGACACTTTTGAATACGTTGTTTTCGCGCCATTTCTTTTCAAATGGTCAGAATTCAGAAACGACGTCTTTTCTGTATTCCGAACAAATAGAACAGTAGTGGGGTCAGGGTTGTGCGACTGAAGTTTAGAGATTACTGATGTTTACGTGTATCTGGTTCTGGCAAGCTCAGTTAATGTGACGCTTAAAAGGACTAGAAATATCGAAAGTTGCACAGAACGATTAAAAGTCATCTGAAAGAAGCTGCAAGCACCATTTTACTGAACAAATTGATACTACTTCAAGACAGATAAAACCTGCCTAATTCTTCAAAAATGGCGATTTCAGGTTCAACTAAACCCCAATTGGATATCAGTTTCAGCTTCAAAATAGCGTATCGTTTTATCAACAAGAAACTAATTGCCTTTTTTTTTTTACTTAAAACTGTAGCAGCCGTGATTATACTGATAGAAAATCAAGAGCTGTTTTTGCAATGATTAGGGCAGGAATTGCAGCGCCAGTTAATTTAGTTTTTAGAAGCACTTTCAGGTGCCCTTAAAAGCTAAAAGACTGATAAATTTTTATCTGTTATACACTAAAGTGGTATCAGTTTGCCTCGTAAAGCGGCCTTACCAACTTTTCACCGCTCATTATTGTACTCCTTTTGCACCGTAGGATGCTTTCAGAAAGCCAACTAAGGCCAGGAATAACTGATCAAACGAAAACAAAACTTTAGTCAAACATTCAACTACAGTTATTCCTTGTGCTGTTTCTACATTTTTCATTTTTATTAAATTACTTACTGCAAAAATTATAAAAAAATACTACAGTATCAATTCGAATTTCTCGGCTATTTTGACTGATTCGAATGAAGCATTTAATTTATCTGAAATAAAGTGGATTGTTGTCCATGCTAAAAAAGAATAATTTTGTATAAATGGCTAAAAATTTAAATTATACGTATTTTCTTTGAAAGATTCAGTTTTAAAAGAAAGTTTAGGCAACGAAACGGTAGCAAATATCTTGTCAAATTAAATGGCAATTAATGATTAATTAATCATTATCTGATTGAGAATGAGTCATTTTTTCCTTTCTCAATTCGAAGACGTTTGCATCATATTGTTGAGTGAATTTCAAATGTTTCCATGACAACTACATCAATGACCAACGCCAAAAAAAATACTATATGGCTATATAGGACCTGTTAAACAAAAGCCTACAGTTGCTTTCTACCAACCCTTAGTTTTAGCAATTATACTCTCAGTAATATCCTAAATAAAACACATTTTACGACTGCCCAAAGTTGACGGTGTATCCGTACGCCCCTATCCTCTTTTCCTTATTCTTTGCCATATTCGAGTCATTTATTTATTTCTCTCTTTTTCCCTAATTTCAGGTGAGATTACAAATTTTGAGCAAAGAATAGTTGTGTGCAAAAATTTTTCACTTCTTTTCTCCTTTCTAGATGCATCATCAACCAAAACAAGAAAAACGATCACATTCAAAGTCTCGAACCGATGAAAAAGTCAAGAAACGGTTTGTGCTTAATACTGACACTTTCCTATGACACTTTTTTGCCGTCACAAAAATTTTCAAAATTAAAGCAATTTTTGCATTTAATTCAGAGTCGAAAAAAAAGCTCCGACAAAACTTCAGCACAGTTCTAATCGAATCGAAACCACTAATGAGTTAACATCAAAAATTAAAAACCACAAAAAAGCAGTTAGTTTTGACAGCATTTCAATTAATTACCAACTCTTATATATCAAACTACGTAATTTTTGCAGCAAAAAAAAAAAAAAGAAATTTTTTTTAGTCACCTAAAAGAGTTGCAAAAAATGCTTTTTTTTTATTTGCAGGATGATCACGACAAGCATAATTCTTCAAAATTAAAGAATTATCGGGTTAAAGCCGTAGAGGACGAAAAGCATCAAAACAAAATTTCTAGTACATCATCAAAAAAGCACAGAGAAGGTTCTTCAAAATATGACCACCATTCTTCCTCATCAGGTAAACATGTAAGTGGTGCTTGTTCTTCTTGATCTGACTGATGTGTTAAATGACTAATGATACTTCTACCTGATAAAAAAAAGCCATTTGAAACTATTTTCCTAAAAAACGGTTCTTTAGTCTACTTTGTCAAACGCAAAAAATTCAAAAAGTCAAGCAGCTGAGGAACAAATTCCCAAATCGTCAGCAGCAGTCGCATCTTCAAGTTCGGCTATCAAGTCGAAAGCGGAAGAAGCAAAAGACAAACGTTACAATTACTATTATGAGGTGACATCCTTTTTTACTATATCGAGATTGCTGAACAGAACATTATTTTATATTCTGTAGATGAAATACAGTATTGATTATTCAATCTCATAATATAAAGCTATTATAGCACTTCCTAATAACCACTATCATGCTGGGGTATCATAAAGTCAAATTCAGGATGATTTTGAAGATTATACGGATGATTTTGAAGAAGACTCAGGTGAAGATGAGGAGACCATTAATTCCAAAAAAGAGGACTTCCAAGTGCGTAGGGATGACCATAACAGTGAGGAAATGTTGCCTAAAAATGCAAGCGACACCCCGCTGATGCGCCGATTAACACAGAGCAGAGACGTTAAGACAAAGAGTACTGTTATTCGAAGACCAAGTGTAGGTTTCTTCCTGTCAAAATATTCAAAAAAATTTTTAACTTAGCTTTGCTTTTATGGTGTTTTTGTCGCCTATCAAAATACGCTTCAAACAAGTTGTAGTTGTAGATTTTTAGTTTGACTAACTCCGTTTTAGCAGATATTTGGTCTGTTGAATACTCCGTTTGACAAGGCTGCAAATAGCCGCTACAACGCTTTAAAAAACCTTATTGGTAATTTAAATTATCACTTACCGATCAGCCTTAGTTTAAAACTCTCAGTTAACTACTTCATTCTATTAAATACAGATTTTAGAAATGGAAGTGGTACAATTTGAATTTGCTGACATACCGCCAGTAAGCGATTATGAATTCTATCTTGAAATGTTTGGTGACACGAATAAAATTCAGGTATTCTTCTTTCTTAGTCATTTCTTTATTTTTTATTTAACGTTTTATAATAAACTTTTTTTCTAATTGTTAGGATACATAACGCTTTTTAATTGGATGAATTATAATTATAAAGGTACAAACGCAAACCTATGATGAGAACTGCAATCGATTCGTACAGACGGAAGAGGAAGAAACAGAATCAAAATGGACGCAACATCCACCAACAGGTTTTCCAACATTATCTAACATCTTTATACTTTTTTTAATTTATTTTTTTCTTACTAAATTGCTCATTTGAGACTCAGTAATGTCTCTTGACGACTAGTATTTCAATTTACTGAACGCAAAGAATATCTTTCTTAGACGAACGTGGATGGGGTATAGGCTCTACAAAACAAAATGAGTTTACTTCGTTGGACCTCATGGATACAGATGTTGAGTTCTACCGAAAACGAAACGTCGACAAGGAGAAGCTAAAAAAGTTTTTAGATGTTGCTGGCGAAGTATAAACAATGAATTATTTATTATATGAATGCTTTCATTGTTCAAAATCAATTACTGACTTAACTGATGAAAAAAAAAA